TACTCACTCATAGGAGGATACTAGATGTAAAACAAAGATGACTAGACTGCTACTCACAACACCAGGGAGGCTACCTAGAAAACTGGACCCCAAGAAAGACACAGGGAAGCCCAATGATGGAGAAACGGATGAGATCTACATGAACAATCTGGACGTGAGTGGGATAACTAAGGGCAAGGGTCAAGGGAAAGAGAGCTTGGGGGAGCGAGAGATCCCAGCTGGATCAAGAACAGAGAGGGAGAACAAGGAATAAGAGACCATGGTAAGTGAAGACCACATGAGAATAGGAAGAAGCAAAGTGCTAGAGAGGTCCACAGAAATCCACAAAGATACCCCCACAATTGACTACTGGCAGTGGTGGAGAGACAGCCTGAATGGACCTACTCTGGTGATAGGATGGCCAAACACCCTAATTGTTGTGCTAGAAACCCCATCCAATGACTGGAGGAACCGGATGCAGAGATCCAAGGCCAGGCCCCAGGTGGAACTCCAGGATTCCAATTGGTGAGAAAGAGGAGGGTTTATATGTGCAAGAATTGTTGAGACCAAGGTTGGATAAAGCACAGGGACAAACAGCCAAACAAATGAACTATGAACCAATGGCTGAGGAGCCCCCAACTGGATCAGGCCCTCTGAATAAGAGAGACAGTTGATTAGCTTGATCTGTTTGGGAGGCATCTAGGCAGTGGGACTGGGTCCTGTGCTCAGTGCATGAGTTGGTTGTTTGAAACTTGGGGCTTATACAGGGACACTTGGCTCCGCCTGAGAGGAGGGGGCTGGCCCTGCCTATACTGAATCTACCAGGTTGAACTCAATCCTCAGGGGAGTCTTTGCCCTGGAGGAGATGTGTATGGGGTGTGGGCTGGGGGGAAGGTGGGGAGGCGCGGGAGCGGGGAGGGCAAAGAATCCGTGGCTGATATGTAAAATTAAATTAAATTATAAAATAAAATAAAAAAGAAACAACAAAGAAAAAAAGAAAATTAAAGATGTGGTCTCTCTGTGTGTGTACACATATATACAAATATTTTGGCCTTCGAAATAAGAAAAATGTTCCATTTGCAATAACACAAACAACGGTATGCCATTATGCTATGGAAAATTTACAAGACATAAAAATTAATCACATATTATACAAGAATCCTAAAGAAGTCACATTCATAAAAACAAAGTGTTGGCTGACAGAGACTGAGATTTTGCTCAGTGTATTTTCAAGGTATAGTAAAGAAAAATTGCATATAAAATAGGAAGAGGAAATCTTAATATAATTCAGAAATATAAATACTGATGTTAAAAGTGTTCTGGCTATTTTACTGGAAAAAAATAGTAAGACATTTGACAATCGTCAGTGTTCGATAATGTCAATAATCATAATTTTCTAAGTTAAAAAGTGCTGCTCCCTAGCATGCATTTCCAGGCTGTACATAAAACGTTTGAAATTCAGGACATCTTGTCGCTTCTGGGTCCCGCTTAAGATGCCACTTTCCTCTGCTTGTGAAATAGACTACCACATCCCGATAACCCAGAAGTCCAACGTACCCTAGAGCTACACAACCCAATGAGACCTATGGTTTTGTATGAGTGTTATAAAGAATGTCTTCCCTGCATGTGGGTCTTTGAACTAGCCAATCTGCAGTCCTGGAGGAAAGCCTGAGAACAAAACAGAAGGCTGTAGACTTTAGTATAGTCAGAGCCTCTGTGCTGCCTCCCTTGCCCTTCCTGTCTCTCTGTTGGTTGAGTTCCCTACTACCTTACCTCGTAATTTCCCTTTCAGTTCCATGAACAACTTGGGGCACTCTGAGAGCTGTAAATAATGTTTTTTTTTTTCTTTTTCATGAGTTTTGTTGTTGTTGTTGTTGTTATACTTATTGCCTGACCTACAAAATATTACCTAAATCCTAGTCAAGACTCTCTTGGAGACTCCTGATTTTAGCTGTGGCTACGCGTAAAAAGACTTTAAGTCTAAATTATACACCAGAACAATGGAATCACAACAGCGATGCTTTTAAAGTGTGATGTGTTAGTTGTCAAAAGTAAAAGTAACAGGATTAAAATTGACACGTCCATAAAGAGCACTGTTTGTGAATAGAATTCCCCAAGTTTCTTGTGATTGGTGATTTTACATCCCATCATGTATCGGGCCTCTGTTTTCAAACTTAACCAAGCACCGAATTTCTCTGGAGGGATTGTTGAAGCAGCTCTCTGGGCTCTGCCATCAGCCTTTCTGATTCAGTGTGCCTGTGCTGAATTTTTAACAAGTTCCCAAGTGGCGCTGAAGTTGCTGGCTTGGAGAATACATTTGAGTACCACTATATAATGGATAATGGTTTTCAATGATGTAATGAAATAGAAAGGAATAACTGTTTAATGCTATGAAAATACTTTCTGTCTATGTTGTTTGCATGCATACTGTGTTGTATGTAGTATTGTTTAGATCTCTCGACAGTAAAAATGCAATCTCAGGACATATAGTTTACTGTGATTGCAATATAACATATAAAATGAAAAGAAAGTACAAACTACTAAGATTTTGGAAAGTGGGGGATGTTAATGCAAACAAAAATTCCCAGAAAGCAGATTTGCCTATGAAGGTTAATTGACTGGCTAAAACGTAGTGATATGGGAAAGTTAGATTGTGACAGGTCCAGAGGCTAGAAGCACATCTCTTATGTACCTACAGATGTATTTTGAACTTACCTTGATTTATAACTTTGTTCTGTAAAACCATAAAACTTCATGAAACTGCTCCACACTGAGCCATCAATTGGGTTAACCCAAATCTTTGTTCCCAGGTCTTAGTGACTCAATGATATAGTATCCCAAATTTATCCAAAAAATGAATTGATAGACACAGTTATTTTTAAAATAAACAAATTATGCCAAGACTGAGTAAATATTTCCTTGATAGTAAAATTGTACATAGTTGTGTAGAGTTACTCTGTTTTCCTAGGTGGTAATGTTGCACACACCTGTGTAGAGTTACACTGTTTTCCTGGTTGGTAATATTGTACATACCTGTGTAGA